ACACCAAACGAACACACCGTAAATTCACAGCCATAGGAAGTATTTTAAGCKCTCTGTTTTGTGGTTCCTGCATGAATGAGCCTGCGTTTATTCCCTTCTAAATTTAGCTTTTGGAAGGAATATAAAAGATAAGATCCYGCTTCCATTTGCACCCGTGTAGATTGCAGTAACTTTGGACTCCCACTGGATTTACTGTTTTGAGATTGAGCACAGGCTCGGGTGCCAAATATGTAAATCAGCACACTCTGGGGAATCATTCATGGTTTTTTCTCCTTTCACAGGTATGCAAATAAAGCTCCATGGTAGTATCTTATTTTCCTCCTCTCCTTCCCTAGACTCCAGGGTGTGTCCAGCACCACCTTCCCCCTGCGTTTCTCAGCATCTCGAGCCGCATCCTGTGATTTTTATACTCCTTTTCCCACTCCTGTTTCCAAATCTAGTCTCACTTCTCCATTTGCTGTGCATGCTCCCCACACAGGACTWCTCAGCTCTCCCTTTCTTGTGCCCACAAGGCCAATAATTATCAATTATGTGAGAGGCAAGCTCAGCAAGGGAGTTCTTTTGTCCATTGCCTCGGATTTTCCCCTTTGGGAAAGTGGGATTTAATGAGGGTAGAAGAAAGTTCAACAGCGTATTTTGATTTGTTTCAAGGGGGAAAAAAAGTGCAAAGCGTGGTGCTACAGACAGCCTTGGTTTGTTGCCACCTCAGTGAAGGGAATAGAAACAGTGGCAAGGAGCCAGGAAAGAGAGACAGTCAAGCTGGGACAAAGTCCTGTGGAGCATCAGCCATCCCAGCAGAAGGGGAAAGGAGTGATTTGCGAAATGGGGCCTCCCTGGAGGGCTGTTTGACTTCAGCTGAAATTAGTCAGTCTCAAAAAAATCCACTGAATCAGAGGATGCCATTGAACAAAGAGACTTCCTTGTCCAGCTCGAGTGTTAGAAACCAAACCGAGTTAATAGCCAGGAGCACAGGAGTCACAGCCACTTCACTTGTGAGTGTATTTTTCATATTCTCTGTTTTTCTTCTTTTAATTTTTTAAATAGTAACCATTAGGTGATGTACTTTTGAGGCAGAATAAAAGGACTGAGCCACCAGGAATAAACTCAATCTTTGGTTCCCTGTGGCAGACAGCTGAGATGATCTGAAGGTCATCTCCACAGATCCCTCTCCCATGAGGCCACGAGCTCGGCAATATTTCCTCATTCTCCAGCTTTACAAAACAACTTCAAAAAAAACAAATTATGCAAAGAATGTTCTCTTCAAGGATCAGCACTTGGTCCCCAGTGGCTGACCACAAGACTGTGCAAGTGGAGGGTTTGTGAATGCCAGCACAGAGTCAGGAATTCACCCTCGTTCTCAAGTTAGATRCACTCTACCCTGATTTTTTACATTCTTCTGCCTGTTTGGTAGGTCAGGTTCAGAGCTTTAGTGAGCTCAGTCTTGCTGAAGTGAGGTTGGGTACATTTCCTCCTCCAACAATTCGTTCTAAACATTTATGCTAAGGTGAGTGTAAGTAGAGGGAACTATTTAGTGTAAAACATTTTGGTTTAATACATCAGTTCTTCCCTTCCTGCAGCTCTCCAATGGAACACAAAATCCTCTGTAGATTTTGCTGACAGTCYCTTGTTTCCATCACTTTACCTAAATATGAGAAAAAGTTGTGGCTGCCCCATCCCAGGCAGTGCTCCAGGCCAGGCTGGACAGGGCTTGGAGCACCCTGGGGTASAGGAAGGTGTCCCTACCATGGCAGGGGCTGGAAAAAGATGATTAAGGTCCTTCCAACCCAAACCATTCCATATTTTGTCCTCAGGCAGCTGCTGGCTGTGATGAACGAGTCCCTTCTCATGGCTCCTCAAGGGKCACCAAGATTCCTCTCTTGTTTGACTTGGGTTCCCTCCTCAATCCACACCTTCAGTGTGCCTTAAACCTGACTAAATTACCTCAAAAGCAAAGCTGTGTTTTCTTCGCACCACTTTAAATCTTAGTTTACTAATAGTATTTAGAAAATGTCTAAAATATTTGGCAGCTTTCTTAAGGTATTTGTGAAGAAAGGAAATAAAAAATTGAACAGAAAAAATCTTGAAATGCCATCTCTGTGGCTGAGAGCTCCTCACTAAGCAGCGAGGAACAAAACCCCATTTGCAGGAGCTCAAAGGTTCTTCTGGGATGCAGAAACAAGATGGGAATGACAGGACCACATGCAGGAGAAACAAAGAATTTGAGAGTATGATCTCAAAATGAAGAACAGAAGCAGCATTGCAGGTGTCCCAGTGCCTCAGAAAGTGTCCTTCCCTGCCTTTAGCCACAGCAATTCATTAAAGAGATATTTTCCCATCTCAGGGAAGCTTTGAAAAGCACCAAAAGAAAGAAGTGATCAAAGTCCTCAGCCAGTAATCCACMCCCCAGTGCCAGGATTTTCCTGTTCCAAAGGCTGTGTCTGCCATAAAGCCACAGCAAATGAGAAACTGAAATTAAGATGTCACTAAAATAACCAGAATCTTCCTCTTGGAAACAGTAAAATCACTGAAAGGCCTTTCATACCAAAGTCATACAAAGTGAGGGCRTTCCAGCACTTAACAGCCAGACCCAAGAGTGGGAAAATCCAGTGCCTGGGTGGAACACAGAAGGCACAACACTCACCCACACGTAGAGGGGAGCAGTTGGGAAATGAAAACAGATATTCTGTTTAGATGATCTCACCTAATCTCTGACCACCAGACTGACCCTCCTTGTCATCCACAGAAGAGAGGATATGAAGGAGAAAAACACTTGAGATGGATGAAATTCTGTGCTCAGCCCCAGTGCCCTGAGACACCCTTTGGAGGTGCAATCACGAGGGGCGGATGCCTTTTGCTCCAGCTGGCCACAACCCCAACTATTCAAGTCCACCTTCAGAGATGGAAATATTGATTCCACCCAGGAAAAGAGAAGCAAAAATATATGCAGAGTCCTCACTGTGAGAGAAATTTCTCATGCAGACACATCTGTGCCAGTCAGTACTGACCAGAGCTGGGACATTGAAGAAGCTCCTGCCACAGTTTATTTATTGAACCAAATAAGGGCTGAAATTTTAAATAGTGACCCATCATCTATTCATGTAAGAAAGGCTTTACAAAATGTCACAATACAAAACTATCGCTGCTGCTCTCCAGCTCCCCCAAAACAACCTAACAGCTTCTCTTCTCGCCTTTACAATCTCACAGGGTTGATTTTATCCTGTGGTTTTATTTTTTTTCCTGGATTTTCCAGACCACTGCAAATAAATCAAATGAAATGTGCATCATCTCGAGGGGTTTAAACTAAAACATCACGGAACAAGAGCAGGTCGAGCATCCACCACCTGGATTTCTCAAAACTATCAACTCCAGCGGTTTCTAGATAAACAAACATGTAGCAAATCTATAAATTTCATGATGAAAACTCACAAAATTTTGARTTTGCCTGGACAGCAGAGGCCGTGCTCACTCACCAAAGCGTTTCCTTGTCCACCAGTGGGGCTCCTTGATGGCKGAGAAGCGAACGTCGGGGTGCAGCCGCAGGCGGTCGTACAGGTCCGTGGTGCCACATTTGGGCTGCCCGATGATGTAGAAGTGCGGGAGGCAGCGCAGGCGGTAGTGTTTGTCCTTGTAGTGGTACAAGTGGTTCCAAAACACCTTCCTGAGGTAATCAAAAATGATCCGAAAGCGCTTGGAGTACAGTGCGTAGGAGTTGGTTGCATAAGGATCCGTGGTTGTGTTGCCCCGGTACTCTTCGTACCAACAAGGGTTCTTGCTATTTGGAAGGAATTTGTTAGGAATTACTGAAAACATCTGCAACATAAAGAACAACAATTTCAGTCAAGGCAGCAAACAAGCAACAGTTATAATTTTCTTACTTAGCACGGTGAGAGAACAGAAACGTTACCTGAACATTTTTGCCTACAAAGCTGACCCCATTTATTGCTTCYGCTGGCACCACAACCAAATCCTGTACAACCCATTGGACTGGGAGAGTATTACTTAGAAATACTTTTATTTTAAGGCCAGAAAGGGCCTCAATAATCCCCCAACTCCCCTACAACTCCAGGAACTGATTTTTTTTTAAGTCAAACACCTAACACTCAAATTAAATTACCTTCCAGTTTTTAACTCTAGTTTTTAACTCAGGTTTTTAACTCTGAAATAAAAGGTTTGCAGTGATTTTCAGGAAGGCACCCTGGGAAGCAGTTATTAGGAAGGCTCTTTTCTTATTTATCATTTCAGTTGACAGGTAAATCTGAGCCACGAAGAATTTTGCATGAAACAAGGTGAAAGTGATGTTGTACAGCTCTCAGAAGGCTGCCTGATTTTTCGCTTCAGGTGTCAAGATGGTTTATAGAATCCATCCATCCTGCCCGTGACTCTGAGGGATGTGATCTCCAGCATCAACTTCTCAGCTGCTGTGAATCAGGACACTCTAGGTGGTGCAAATCACCACGAGAACATCCCAGCAGTGAAACTTTTTAATATCCAGGGTTAAGATTGATCCAAAAGTCTTGAAATAAGGGAGTGAAAAGCAGTTTGAGACATGCCTCAATTCATACTTACGTGTGGCTCTTGCTTCCTCAGCTCTTCCAAATCAGGGCGCTGCCTCACTGTAAACTCTATCTTCGAAGTAATGGTGTCAATAATTAATTTAATGCTTGGATAATCCTTTACGTATGAAATATTAATTTTTGAAGGCTGGTAATGGTCTTTCATGTCACTAAGGCTTTCGTTGTCCATTAAGCTGGGATTGCTGGCAAAAGCCCCGTAATGGAAGGGAGATGGGATCAGCAGCAGCCCGTGCTTGGCTCCAGTCAGCATGTAGGATACCATCACCAGGGTCATTATGATCAACCCAAACATCAAACTGCAGAGTTTGCCCTTCCTCAGGCAGAAAATCCCGTTCCAGCTCTCACAGTGATCAGCCCTCACTTCCAGGACCGCCAGCCACTTCATCTGCTTGCTGTCGGGGTACAAAGGGATTTTGTTTTCTCCCCTGCACACAGGACACTTCTGGTTGCTGTGATCAGGTCCACGGCATCTGAAGCACTGTCTGTGCAAGTCATTTGGCAACAAATGGATGCAGCAATTAATGCAATGCCTCATATTACTGCTGTTAAACTCCTATATTAATGAGCCAAGCGCAGCCATAGAAAGGTTTCTGAAGMGTTTGAGTCATCTTCCATAGCTCTGAAATGATTGAATTCCTGGAGTGATTCTAGGACTGCTCAGCAATGCGAAAGGACAGGTTCAAAATGGAATAAAAAGTGACATATGTCACAGGAAGGAAAAAAAAAAAACCAAAAAGCCAAGCACCACCAGCACACAAAAATAGATGTACTCTGGATGTGACTCCCAAGAATTTGGCTCAGTAAGAGGAATGTGGCGAAGTAAGGATCGGCTGCAAAAGTGGCTCAAGTTTTTCCCATTGAACAAAATGAGAAGGAAGAAAAACGGTTGTGCAGTGTGAAAATATGCAAAAAATAAAAATAACTCATTGTCCTCTGCTTTCTGCTGGAGTAGGCAAATACAGRCAGAAATTTCCAGGTTTCTTTAAAACAGGCAGGTTCCAAACTGCACTGCTRGGAGCTTCATCTTCCCAGAGGTGGTTCCGAGGAGATGCATTGTCCAGCCTAGAGAAACAAAAACACATTTATAGGCACACCCAGAACAGCAGACATCATACCCACATCACCCACAGCCACAGTGAAGCACAGCCCACCACRAGCCAATTCCACAATTGCAAAGATGCCTCCTGCTTGCCAAGTCTATTAATTATTACAGTGCATTAATTATTACACCACTCAGGATATTAAACCCTGGAAACCTTTGGCTCCAGGTTCCCACAGAGCTGCCCCTGCTCTTCCATCACCCACCTGATCCCATCAGTGAGGGGATAACACCCATGACCCCCCTCAGACCTCACTGACCCACCCAACAGATCTTCATCTGCTCCTGAATTATGGGAGCAMTTTTGGACAGTACTCAGTTTAAATTATTGCACTCTATCAGCACGTGGGGACATTTAAATGAACCATCCCAAAAGTGGGGTAGGACCCTGTTGGAGGCAGGGGTAAAATAACAGTCCCCTTTGAAACACAGCAGACAAAAAGCCAAAAAAAAAAAAAAATCAATCAAAAACTACAAGTAAAACATTCAGCAATCAAAAACTATAAGTAAAACATTCAGCAAACGGAAGGGGTTGGAAAACAGACAAGGAAAGGCTAATGGCAGGATCTCAGGTTTCTGGATCAAATGATGGGTCCTCTCATTACTCACTAAATCAGAGAAGTATAATGATTACTGCTATGAGTCCCACAATTTGACCGTTTTGCCTTTGGCTCTATCAACACCTATTTTTAATGTTTAAGAAAAACTGGTATAATTCTAGATAATAGCTCCTGGTTCATTCCCACAAAAGTGCCCTGATCAAATGGGGCAGTCATTTCAGATCCTGCACTTATCTTCATCCTTCTGGCTGTTTTTTTTGTGTGAGACAAAATGCTTTTGTAAAATTTATTTGTATTCTAATGCTTCTCCCACTGAACACTTTCACTTATTGGAGGATTTCTGCAGTCACAGCAAGTAGGCTGTGTCTCAGGGACCCAAGAATAATTAGGTAAATATTGAACAAAAGTATTTGCAAAATACTTTCCTTCCCCCCMAAAAAAAGTTCATTTCCTAAATGAGTTTATACTCTGTGCCAGATGAGGCAGACAGAAATCATAGCATATTCATTACTGACTATTTAAACCAAAGGGAAAGAAATCAGTGCAAGACTTCTCAAAGAGTTCAGCCTCAAAAACTTCTCTGAAGGAACAGAGCTGTGATGATTTTGATAGAAGTTTAAATGATGAGAGAGATTGAATCAGATTAATATGGGTCATTTTAAACCTAGAAAATTCATTCTTTCTTATGCTAAAATATCCCCCACCCAATTAATGTACAAAAGAAAAAGAGGAGCTATGGAAAGGAGGCAAGATTGAGAACATCTTGATGGTTTTCCAAAGACCACCAATAGTGGTGAGAAGAAGGACAAGAAAGGGAAGTCCTGACAAGAAGTGGAAAGTTTCCACTTCTCAAGTGAATATTTCAGGCAGAAATAAGACCCTGATCYAATATTTTCAAAGAGGAAGCAAAGGAGGATGGAGGCAGGAGCAGAGTCAAGGCAGCATCACTGAGGTAACAGAAAATCAGAAAAAACTTAGATAGCTTAAAAAAATACTGCAAAAAAAGAGGATGGAGATGAGGGCCTTCGTCACAAATGATAAAAAACGAAGGTAAAAAAAAAAAAAAACCAGCCTCTCAGAAAAGAAGCACAAAGAAGAGACTGCTGACTAAAGCAGCACCTGGAAAAGATCTGGTGACCAAAAGGTACCCTACAGCAACTCTTCAATTAAATGTATCGCGTTCTACACGTTTGGTTTTTTTGTAGCCCTTCTACCCTGAACTCCTCCACTTTGTCATCCACCTCAGCATCCTCCCAGATCTCTGCACTCCAGCTCTTTGCTGTTTATTTTCAAAGAGCAGTTCCTATGCACTGTCTATTTAGAAAAAAGAAAAAATCCAATTTATTTTCCAGTCCTCTTCTACCAGAGAACTGAAACCTGCTCAGTGACATTTATTGAACRGTTTTATCTGAAATAGCCTTATGGAATCAATTCCAGGTCCGTGTATTTGACATCAATTCTCAAATTTTTAAAAAGAAAAATCAGAAATGCATTAATGAATACAGACCACAGGGACTTTAGAAAAACCACATAACCTCTCTTCTATCCTTTGTCCATTTGTGTATTAAAAAAAATGGACTGGAATTTATTGAACCCTTCCCAAAGGCAGATATTTCTCATGAAAATCTGCTACAAATATTGCCAACTCAAGGTAAAACCATGTTAACTACATCTTTGACAGGTGAAGAAAATGGTTTATCAGGAAGGTGATACAAGGATAAAAAAAATAGAAATATGTTTAGGCTACAGTAAAGCTGACATCTTAATCACACCATCCATGAGGGGAAATTTAAAGTTCCACCAGCAACCATAACTCTGCCAGCTCATGCACAAGCACTGCAAGAGGCTGCTTAATTAGATGATCAGCTTGATGACCTGTCACAGGGCAATGGGACAGATCACTCAGTGATAGAATACAGAGATGTTGATCTCATTTTTTTTTAATAACTGCTGGTTGCCAACACAGCATTTTACATTATTTTCCACTGTCATGTTCATGAAATAAAAAAAAAACAAACCTGAATTGTAATAAGCGCATAGAAGTTGGGATGCAATTCCCTAGTGTCACTCCCTTCTCTTGACCAAGAAGTTTTTAACAGAAATTTGTTCCCTAAGCTTTCAGCATGGCATGAAGAATGCTCACCAGAATGGCAGGATCTTCCCCCAGCCCTCATCCATGAAACCAAGATATTTACAGCTTTTTTTTTTTTTTTTAATCCTTCCACTCAACATTCCCACAGCCACCAGCACACGTCACCCCTCAATATTCCACTCCTGAGAGCAGGAGGATGCGGATTGCAGGCAGAAGGAAGGTTACGAGGCTTGAGCTGGTCATAAACCATGTGTGTCTCGTTGTATTTCAGCTGCAAAGCTGCTGGCTGTTCCCTGGCAGAAAATTACTCTCTTTACACAACAAGCAGTGTCTTTGTATATTGAATAATGTAGCATGTAATTTCCCCTTGTTGGAGGGGACGGTGAATTATTTATKATCGCGTCTACACCGCATTTGTCCTCCGCGCATTAACGCGTGCCAGCCCTAACCACGGAGCAGAAATCAACCTCTGCAGGCTCCTCACGGGCCAAAAGCAATCCTCCTGGTAAAAATCAGGATCTCTGGGAATAGCCTGAGGAGGAAACGTGGATATAGGAGATGACACACRGCAGGATGGGGAGGAAAAGGAAAAGCTGTCTTGGATTTCGATAAATTCCCGCTGAAGCCACGGGGACTTTGCATCGCTGCTCCAAAGTGAAGCAGGCTCGAGCTAACAAAGGTATTTATGTGCAACAGAGAATTAATGGCAAACAGGTGGGGTCTTGTAATGCCAATTTTTCTGAGCAATTCCTTCGTTGTGTAAGAGGAGGGGCTGTTTGGGTTTGGGATGCAGGAGAGGAGGCTCACAGGTAACACCTGCAGGAACCCCAAAAGCAAACAAAGCAAGCAAAAGCTGCCTGCTCGAGAATCACACTGGAAATGAAATACAGCATCCACCAGGCCCCACTCATCTCATAAATAGGGTAAAAAGAGACATTACCCCTAAAAGAAAACATGCAGGGTTTTTCATCATTCACATAGGTTTGCTGGCTGTATAGAAAATATATGAAATTCTGTATTATTTCTATTAAAAAAAWTCCTCCCTTTCCTCTTTAAGGATTGTAAGGGAAGACTGTGACTAAAATGGCTACAGAATCTCAGAATGATGGAATTATCGAGGTTGGAAAAGCATTCCAAGATCATCAAGTCCAATCATTAACTGAGCTCTTCCAAGGCCACCACTGCTCCATGTCCCCAAGTGCCACATCCACATGGCTTTTAAATCCCTCCAGGGATGGTGACTTCACCACTGCCCTGGGCAGTTCCAGCTCTCAACACSACTTTTGATGAAGAWATTTTCCCTSATATCCAAACTAAACCTCCACTGATGCAACTTGAGGCCATTTCCTCTTGTCCTAATGCTCGTCCCTTGGGAGAAGAGACCAACAGGCTATATAAAAAGCAATTACTTTCATATGCTCAGTCACGTAATTAAAGTTCTCCTCCTCTATGGATAAGATAAAACAGATTGAACAGATTTTGCACACACCTTCTGGACATCTACGTGTGTGACATGTTTTCCAGGTCACCAGTTCCTTAATGCTTAATATACTTTCATTTCTTTCATAACTCTTTAAAATAAGGATAAATCRAACTTCTGCTGCTGCTCTTCAGGGTAAATTTTGTAGCAGCCTTGTTACTTCTAATCACAGTCATCTTCCCCTCCCACCACACAAAAAGGTGGCTGTTAACCTCTTATAAACCCATTTCAGGTACACCAGGGACACATTTCTCACCCTGGGGTATAAATGCTCCTTTGGTTTATGTCAGTGACGCTGCAGCACTCTGCTCCCTTCACACAATATAATTGAAGATTTCAGCTAAGACAGTCCTGTTGGGCAGGTCACAGCCTAAAATATGGGTGTCAAAGGCAAGGGAGAAAATCATCCACCAGCTCTCAGGTTAGATGGGATGAAGCCTAATTGAAAAGCTACGGATGCTATAAAATTAAGGATAAACACTTTTATCCAGAAGAAAACCCAAACAAAAGACCAGACAGAAGAKAATACCGCTGAATCATCTGATCAGTGACATCACACAGCTGCTAATTTAATATATCTAATGCCATTCTCAGAGTAACAGCAATGTTGTTTTATCCATAGTCTCCTAATTGTTCCCACTAATCTGGATAAATAGTCCTACAAGCGAAGCGCCTTCCCTGCCAAATCAGGAAGGTTTGTTTAAATCAAGTTCTCAGCTTGCACTGCTGATGGCTTTTGAAATCTCAGAGCAAAGCTGATCCCACGCCCTCCACGAACGCTCCAGAAATGAACTTCCCTGTGGAAATGTCTCCCTCTGAAAAGCTCC